CCGATTATAAATAGAGAAATAGACACAAGCTAATATACAAATAATAATAACTATGAATCTTTCAAGAGACACAATTAATTTTCGAGTTCGAAAAACTTACGGCGCAACAAATTTGGAGACGAGAGATCCTCAAAGAAGAGAAGCCACTATTGGCCCATCCATTAGAAACCAACTTTATACTTGAACTTGTTTTTGTTACCTGCATTATTTTCACCTTCAGCACATTTTATTGGTCTAAAAAACCATCAATTGGGCAATATTCAAGAAATTCAAAAAATAACGACCCCTAGTGGTTAACCTATAAGTAAGGTATGTGAACGCCTTTCACAGATAAGTAGATAGACTCGTGTGAGATGCACATGCAGAGAGTACACCTATCTTCAGTATCACTACTGAACGCAAGATTTTCTTCAAAACAGTACCTCAAATTTTCAAGAGATAACCCAATTGAACAACAAGAGAAATGTGACTTGAGCACACAAAATTTGGTATAGTAGTACTAAAAAACCAAATGAGACTAAATTAATGAAGACTTAATGACACGTGTTCCCGTTATTGTGGCATCTTGAGCAGTCCTAACATAGAAGTGGCATAGGACGTTGCAGTGAACGTGTTCTTTGAAGGTCTCTCTCAAAATTAACTGCAATAAAAGTGAATCTAAGGTAAATGTTAGTACCTGGCAGGTCTTGATTGGCTGGTTTTGAAAGGTTTGGAACCTGCAGAGAGAAGTTGCTGAAGCAGAAGCCATTGGAGCTCACAAAAGCGAAGCACAGAAACTTGGTTACTTGAAATAGAGATATGGTGAAAGTGAGCTAAATTATCCTATTGGAACAGAGCCCTATCTACTACTTACGTGGTAGATACTCGGACATCATGGTGGGTCCCCAAAAGCTAGGTACAAGTTGCCACATGGGACAAATTAACAACTAGGCATCCAGCACAAAAGTGACATGCTGTGTAAAGAGATTAATAAGAACGGAATGTCACATGTCATATGTAATTGGAGAGATATTTAAAAATTAAAAAAATTTCTTTCAAATTATATGATGAAATATGACGCATCTCGCAAAGATGAAATATGAAGTATATCGCCGTGTTCTGCGACTGAAACGGTGCTTGTGAAATGAAAAATTACATGTCGTATCACACAAAATGGGTTTACAGTGAAAATTAAAACTAACTCTACAGTAATTTGGATACAATTTGTCTTCAGTGTTGTTTAAATCGCTTTTATTTAATCATTTTAGTTTAATAACTATTGAAGCCAAAAGGACGACGACTTAATTACGTAGATTAAATTAGAACATAAGAGGACATGTGCGAGTGAGATGAGCTTTTGAAAAGTATATTAAAAACTTATGATTTCGAATGGCAACAATTACTAATTTAGATACACGACAATTGAATTACAGAAATTGAAGTGAAACGTCGTTTAAACTACAAGAGCTGCCTACATTCATAGGCCATTATATGATAGAGACTTATATGAATCAGAAACGACAAAATAATGATGCCTCAGATTTATCACATGTCACAATATTTTATTGTGTGTTTTAGGCTTTTCACATAGCTTAACATTACTGGTGTCCATAAATTTTTCTACTAAACTACGAAAATGATTCGCTTAACACGAGTAAATCACTAGTTTGATATTTCGCACTAATAATCTCTAATATTAGAAAGCCAGCATATATTATAATACTGACTACGAAGAGAACTACGATTGCAGTTACCAGTTCCGTAAAAATTGATATCTTGAAACTGGAAGGTAATTATTGCTTATTAAGGTATGGGCAGAAGATTCTTTAATATTTCTAGGTCTGAATATTCTTTTTAGCATCTTGTAGAAACGAAACTAGTTACACGTGGCTGCTCATCGAACAAAAATGATAATGTTATTGATACACTTATTTTTATTTTTGCATATTCTTATTAATTTTGGTCATTGTTTTTTTTGGAGTATCTTCAAAGAAGATGTTAAAAAATAAATATCAAATATTAATTTGATGGTTAACGTGGCAATGTCAGACTTTTTTTTTTTTTTCAACCGATATGTTTTTTGTTTGTTTTAAATAATATTTGTACGACCTATTTTATAAAAATATCAATTAAAATAAAGTTTCAGATATATAATTGGTGCATTAATAAGACATACATAATAAAATAATTAAAAATGATTTAACATCACTTTTTCGCATATGTTAAATTTGACATATGAAAACTCATATATTAATCCACATAGAATTGACATATCAGTTAAAACTTGCTCTTACTCCTAAATTTGATTACATAACATTTCACTTAAAATTGGACATCTTCTTTAAAAATGATGTTAATTTATCTCAAATATTTGAGTGCGACAAGGCTTTGAAAATTTGAATGATGATTGGTCCCTTCCGCAAATGGCCACTCCGCCCGGCCAAGATAATATAAAATTGCGCGCCACGCGCACATTTTTCGACGTGTATTTCCACCAACATTTTAACACTGTCTCTCCAATTTCCTCTCGTTTCTCAGACAGCTCAAAAAATGGCAGATCCACTCAGCAACTCTCGTCGCCACTCTCTCGTCCCAAGCTTCTTGTACTCTTCATCTTCTTCAATGACGACGAGTACTGATGCACTGCGGCCGTCGGTTTCATCGTCGTTGGTGGGGGCAGCGTTATTGTCGAAAAGAGTGGTGGTTCCGGCGCCCAAAGAGAAGGTGGAGATGTACTCGGCGGGGTTTTACGCCGCGTGTGGCGTAGGAGGGATGTTGAGCACCGGACTCACCCACTTGGCTGTCACCCCGATCGATCTCGTCAAGTGTAATATGCAGGTGATCAGCTTCTTCGCTATTATTTTTTCCCTTTTGGTTTCTGAAAATATGAGCAAGCGTCGAATTTTGTAGTGTTCATTTACGGATTCTAGGTGTTATTCAACACGAACACGGTTTTGGAATTCATGATTCTTGTAACCGATGTGGTTGTTGTTTAACAAGTTTGGAACCAAATAGTAAGCCAAGTATTTTGATCATGCGTCACGTAACTTGTGACTTCACAGTTGGTTACTGATTATGAATCACGAATAAACAAAGTTTTGAAACGCATTCAAATATAAATGTTACTTTGCAAATAGAAACGCTATTCAGACTCTCTCACATTCATCCCAATAATTAAGTAGTTAATGTTACTTTTAACATCACTTAGCATGATCAATTATACATTTACACATCAAGTGCCTCCATTATATCTTTGCAAAGAGAAACGCTATTCAGACTCTCTCAATACGTGCAAGCACTCGCACTTAACCTTGCTTTTGAAGGAGTCTGTTCTTAAGACAAAAACTACAAGCGTCAACAAGTCCCACTCAAATTTGTTTTATAGAGTCTGAATAGCGATCCTCTCAAACGGACATTGTGGCATTACTTATGTTGATTCTAAGCTTGCTAAAGTTACCACTGCCTCTAAACCCTAAAACCCTTCTTCAGATTGACCCAATCAAGTACAAGAGCATCACATCCGGATTCGGAGTTCTGCTCAAGGAGCAGGGCATTAGGGGTTTGTTCAAAGGTTGGGCACCAACCTGGGTTGGTTACAGTATTCAGGGAGCCGGCAAGTTCGGGCTCTACGAGTTCTTCAAGAAGTACTACAGCGACGTTGCCGGCCCTGAGTATGCAGCCAAGTACAAAACATTGATCTACCTTGCAGGTTCTGCATCAGCTGAAGTCATTGCCGATGTCGCCCTCTGTCCTATGGAAGCCGTCAAAGTTCGTGTCCAAACTCAGCCCGGTTTTGCCAGAGGCTTGACTGATGGCCTTCCGAAGTTCATCAAATCCGAAGGCGCTCTTGGGTACGTATGAATCGAAAACTGAAACACAATGTTGTGTGTTGAAAAGCTTTGGTATGATGAGGCTAAGGAGTTTCGTTATGTTGTAGGTTGTACAAAGGGATGGTTCCGCTCTGGGGACGTCAAGTTCCTTGTAAGTTGAAACCTTTCAGTCAACTTTTATTCTGCTTCCTAACTTCCTTCCCATGCATTTACTCATAAGGGCGTAAACATGATCCTGGTTTCTACAGATACTATGATGAAATTCGCGTCTTTCGAGACGATTATCGAGCTCATGTACAAGCATGCCATCCCAACACCTAAAGAGCAATGCAGCAAACCCTTGCAGCTGGGTGTGAGCTTTGCTAGCGGGTACATTGCTGGTGTGTTCTGTGCTGTTGTCTCGCACCCAGCTGACAACTTGGTCTCCTTCCTCAACAATGCCAAGGGAGCAACCGTTGGCGAAGTGAGTGTTCATATATTTCCGGCTTCCTCTGCGTTTACCAACACGTATTTAATAATTAGTTGTTTATTTTAATTGTGATTGATGTCTTGCAGGCTGTGAAGAAACTGGGAGTTTTAGGTCTTTTCACCCGAGGCCTTCCTCTGCGAATCGTCATGATCGGAACCCTCACCGGAGGCCAATGGGTTATCTATGACGCTTTCAAAGTTTTTGTAGGGCTGTAAGTTTCTGCTCCCTTCATTGTCTTTCGTTTTGTTCTTCCAAGGATGCTCTGTTTTTGGCCGTTGAAATGTGACGTGGTGCGTTCAATTGCTTTTCTCAGGCCGACTACTGGTGGTCCTGCTCCTGCTGCCTGCCGCCATCAAGGTTGCCAACGCTTGAATCCATAACGGATAGCTGACAACCCCAAAGTCTTTTTGGCTCTGAGAATTTGCATAAACTATTTCTTTCGAAGTGATGATTTGATTCAATTTCGGTCATTGATCCTGTATGTATACTTGTTCACTACGTTGTACTGCTCGATTTGATGGCAAGAGAAATTTCTGGGGTCAATTTTCCCATCAATGAACATGTAACATAGAATAAAAAGTTCCACTAAATTGAGGTAACATTCAAGTCTTCAATGATGCTATTTAATCGTCTACTGTCAGATGAATGAACTGCTAAGAGCTCGTATGAGAGTTGGTTTAACCGCCCTAACCTAGTCGTGTAGTTTAGGTGAGGGAACAAAGGGACAAAAAACGACTCCCATATCTTACTACTAAGATTTCGAAAATTTGTTCTCACAAGCAAGTCATGTTTGAGCATTATCAGGATTTAGACTAAGAGGATATATGGTATCGAACACAACTCTTGCGAAAATATGCCGAACTTCCGGCAGGGCTCCCTGAGCTAATGACTCATAATCAATCTTGCCGCCCTGCTTCGGGATGAATCCCCTCTCTGCGCCTGACGTTACGCAGCTAAAAATCCGGCAGACCCTCAAAGATAATCCCCACGGGATAAGTACCTGTGATTTGAGATCAAATCAAATAAGTAAGCCCTTTTGCAGTTTATCAGTAAATGAGACGAAGAATTGCTTGATCAGCATGCAACTTCATCGGGAAAAGAAATAAAAGGAAGTGCTTACCAGATCCGAATATGGTGCTTGTGGGTACGCTGCCATTGCCTGAGAGACTATTTGTTCATCAGTCATATTATTGAGGGCACGCTTAAGAGATGTTGTGAGATTCACAACTTCATCTCGCAATGCTCGATGGTTCAAATTCTGATTTTCTAATAACTCGTGAAAGCTAACATCGTGTACTTTAGTGACTCTCTTGGCTATGCTTACTGCTTCTAACATATCTCCACCATTGTGAATTGCAAGGCTAAGTGCAGCAATCACCAATGGATCCCGAGGTTGTTCGGATAGTGCATTGTGGAATGCTAAGATCGCAACCCTGGAAGTGTAAACCTGTGATGAGTCTTGGTCCAAAGTGTAATGAGCTAGCTTGAAAGAATATCCTAAAACCTCTACTATACAAGAGAACATGCAATTTTATCTTTCCAATTTCCTGCTATAAATGGCATAATGTAAACGAGCATTCATTTATTTCGAAAGGATCTTACCATAAGCTACTGTGGCATGGCTTGTCAGGCGAAAGAAGTTTGTCCAAGTTAGAAAAAAGGGACTGCATGTGGCAAGCCAAAGAATTAACAAGTCTTTCGCTGTTAAGGCAAAGCCTCTTAATATGTGAACTTATGAATAAGCATATAACAAGTAAGTGAATAGTTATGTAATGATGATTACCAAAAGCAGGTTGGTCCTTTTGTCACGTCTTCGAAAACCATGGCGAACAAAATATGCTGCCTGCAAGATGAAACTGTATTAGAACTAATTCTATGGTGTGGACAAGTAGAAAATTTATTCACTTATAAGACCCATACCTGGATAGGAAGAAGCAATTCTAGAAGTCCAAATTTCCATAACAACCTTAAAGAAGCTTCGGCAGAACCATACGCTAGCATGTAGTTCATTTCCATGAGGAGCCTTCCCTAAAGCATAAAGTTATGAGAAAGTAATTCAGGAACTCCAGAATATTAAGTGGAAAAAAAATAAAAATGATAAGGTCAAAGAGCTATTGAAATACCTTATCAAGCCTAAGAATTGAATAAGATAAACTTTTAACAGAATGAGCTGTGTCCTTGGAAATACGAAATCCTAAACGGGCAGCAATTCTTATTGCACGTAGAATGCGAGCTGCACAAAATGCAGAATCTGATTTTAGCATCTTCATAAACATGATAAACTGTTTGCCAATTGAGCACAGGTAACCTTGTATTGTGCACACATAAACTCACCACAATCCTCTTGAAAAGAAGTACTTGCAGGTTTCACGGTTTGGACCTAGGCCCAAAGAAGATGATGTGAGGACAATGTATTTGCCATCTAGGGTAAAGTAATTTAAGAAATCACAACTGCTAAGAGTACAAGCACACTTTAGCTTTTCTAATATCTTCAATGCCTCCCATGTAGTCGTACACTATCCTTGCATAAGGATCAAACATCAACCTGCAAAAGACAAAAAGGAAGACTATAAGAAATAAAAAGAAGGAAGAGTTTTAATTGCCAACTTTCAAGTAAAAAGGGTTTTATAAGCAACCCGTTAATGGTAAAGTCACGCTGTGAACAATTCATCCAACGCATATAATCATTGTCGTCACAGTGACTTGGTTTCCTGAAATCACGACTTAAGTTTCTGCCAGACTTACGTGCAGAGATGCTAAAACTTGAGACCTGATATGAGCGCAAACATTAACATGACATTAGAACAGTGTGCATATATGTGTTGTGCCTGTGTGCAAATGTACAAGGAACTTCGTGGTATTTGAGTTCGAAATGATAGCACTCCCAATGCATTAGGCTAATAGTTCATTATTAGTTGAAAAATTGCTTAGAATTACTCCATAAAACAAACCTCAATAACTGTATCACCAATGTGCACATGACATATGGGAAACCGCTTGCCAACTATTTCACACCAAGAAAATGTTCTTGTCACCTGAAAATACAGCAGATACAACAAGCTGGAAACAACTTATAATATCAACAACCAGATAACATTAAAGTAAAAATTTCAGAGCGAAACCTCCTTCAGTTCAGCAGAAGTTATTATGTCAAAGTCCTTTGGCGTACGGTTTAATATAAGATCCCTTACACAACCTCCTACAAGATACACATCATATCCTACAAGAGAAGACAAGCTAACACGGTTATTTACACAATTAAGAATAAAGCAACAACCATTTTAATAATACAAACCAAATTCAACCATAAATTCAAACTTGATCACCATCTAAACGCTACATTAACACGCACCCTTTCGTTTTAGCCCATTGAGAACCTTTCGAGTAGGCTTGTCGATCATTGAAGTAGTAATCCCAAGCTCTGTGGAATTCAACTTCTTCCATGCCGGCGCCTTAGCATCTTCTGCACCCCCAAAAAATCCGAAAGTAAAAGTTAAAAAAAAAACCATTCAAATGATCCATAATACAAAACCCAAATTACAGGCAAGAAAATTAAACCAAAAGGTCGAAACTTGCTTCTTCCATTGGCAGAATTACTGCTTTTATTGTCCTTAAACAGACCCTCCGGCTCATCAAGCGCTTCCATGGCCGCGACCAAGTTCACTTGCACCTGCAATTGATTGAAACGAGTGGCTCATAAAGCAACTCACACACACACACACACACACACACACACATATATATATTATATTTGACATATGCAGGGTTGAAATTACCTTGCTGATGCAGTGAAACGGAGGAGCACGGAGGCAGAAATGGGGTCGGCAGGCGATTCCGAAGCTCGAAATCACCATTATCGGAGTTGATTCATTCACCGAGTCGGGTTTTGGGAATTTGGATTGCAGAGCTTAAACCCACTTGTTAGGGTTTTAGAAAACAGGGGCAGAAGTGAGAGCAGAGTGGCTCCTCTCACTGGAAATGTTTTAGCCACACGTGAACTGTGATGATCTAAGTTGGATTAGCTTGGGCTTACATGGGCTTACTCCACACGCAAATACCTTATTGGGCTAAATATGAACTGGTCTAGGGTACATAACGGGTTTGGCCCATGTTCGTATTGGAGCGTGGAGGACATCGAACTTGAAATCACTTTTAACGTTGAGAAATAATATTGTGAAAAGTAGTTTCTTTCATTTTCTGATTGGTAGAAGTGGGCAAGGTCGATTACAATATAATGTTTTGGTTTGGTTCAATTTAACAAATATTATTAAAAAACCGAACCAAATCAAACTCATTTTTGCCTTTATTTTCCTTACAAGTGCCAAATGCCCCCCAGTTTAGTCCAATTAAAAGCGTGCTGGAACTAGATTAGTTCAACACAATACGTATTGGATTGAATTGGTTACTATAAAAATCTAGGTAGCGCCACCTCTACACTCATTTTTACTTTCTACGAACCCCTTGTTAATTTTCATAGTTTGATCTTCTTCAATTCATTATATCTGATGCTTCAAAATTAAGAAAAGTGTGTGAGATAAAAAGGAGTGTGTTGATAGTACCATCCAAATTTCGCTCAATTATAATTCTTGTTTTTTTTCCTTTTTTCCTAAAGCCTAGTTAGCTTGGACTGGGTTGGTATGCATGTCCAGCCCAAATTAACCAACCCAAATTTGTGGCAACCCTCAACTCAAACGTGGGCCTATTAAGAAAATGGTTGCATTGAGCCTTTCTAAACCCCAATATTGAAAAAAATGTAATTGTTGTTCAATCAGTGGCCAAGTGAACCCATGGCATTATGCCAGTTTTCAACCAATGTTGGGGTGAGAGCATTTCCGATTACAGTACTTTTGGATGACTAGATTCACGCTGCCAGTCATAAAAAATTACGCATCGAAATCACCATCTATACGAGTTGACATTTCACTTACAAGTAAGACGATTATACTAGACTAGTAGTACTACTGGTTGCTAAGTGTGAGTTATGCTCCTAATCATTTATCTTAGGTTAGTACCATTGTCATACTATAAAGTGGGTGGTGCTATCCACACCCTTTTTTACTCTTGAGACAACCCTGTTAATATTCATCCTTTAATTTTCTTCAATTCATTCGATATAATAGCTTGAAATTGAGAGAAATGTATGGAAAGTAAAAAAAAAATGTGTGGATAGCATCACCATAAAAAATAATGAGGTATTCACCGATTCCCCCTTGGGGAGCTTGTAAGGAGCTACTAATTTCCTTTTTAAACTTAATTTTAGCCGATTACCTCCCTGAACTTTTATAATTGGCAAATTTCTCCTTGAACTATAATTTAAACCGATTACCCTAGAATTTTTATAATTGGTCAATTTCCCTCCTAAACTTTAAAATTCAACAAAAAGTGTATGGAGTAGAACTAGTAGAATAGAAGAAGAAGAAGAAAAAAAATGTTGTCCACTACATCAAGGATAAAATTCCTTCTTACAATTATAAAATTAAAGTTCATGGGAGAAATTGACCAATTATAAAAGTTCATGTGGGTAATCGGTGAAAATCAAAGTTAAGGGAAATTAGCTAATTATAAAAGTTCAGAGGTAATTATAAAATTAAAGTTCAAGAGGAAAATTGACAGCTTCTTACAAGTTTAGAGAGAAAATCGACAAATATCTTTAGAATAATTGATGATGAAACTAGCACTAGCCTTCATTGAATATGTAACATTAGATAATTGATCAATCATAATCAAATTGTAGTTTGGTAATTTATAATTGGAGGGGAAGGAAAATTAAGTAAAAAACATGATTGGAACCTGATAGGAAAGAAGAAGAAAAATGAAAAGCCAAATTTGATGGAGGGAAAAGATACGCGTAAATATTGTGAACCTGTGACGGTACACAGAGAGAAGAAGGGCAAGCAACAACCACAAATATAACCATCGATGTTACGTGCTTCCTATTGGGCTGCATGCCTGCATGCATTGCTTTCACTTAATATATGAAGATCTTTAAATCAAGATTTTCGGATCATTTTTTCTTTAATTTGTTGTGGGATAAGTTTGTCAACAGGCCACCGTCCAATGTCTGTTTACGCGTAGCCAACACAGTACACATATCTCATGCAATTTGAAGTTAATGGTGCCCTCTGAAAGTGATTCACTTCCGTGAAAATTTGATCGAATTTTGTATGAATTTTGCAGGCAATTTCGCGGAAGAACACTTCTGATTGATCAACTTGGATTGATTGACGTCGTTTAGTTCAAAATTTGTTTTACATACCGTAGCATAAAATCGAACTGATCCAAGATATGCCACCACTTGTATGAGAAATTAATCTGCAGAAATATATACGTCCAAAGCAAATTAATTTGGACTTGACCCTTGACTGACTTTTACTATGATTATGATCTATCTAGATACGGGCATGCACGGAGATTGCGACATGCTTCCCCACCCTCTCTCCCCCTCCCCCCTCCCCCCTCCCCTCTCTCTCTCTCTCTCTCTCTCTCTCTCTTTTAATTAGGAAAACTAATAAAAATGACTTATAAACTTTGAAATGTTAACCAAAAATCAGGTAATAACTTTATTTAATAATTAGAAGAGAGCCTAATACTAAATCAATCCAATTAAAATGATCCAAACACTGAAATTTCGATTTTGCCCCTGCCTTTTCCGTTTAATCTCTCTTCCTTCTCTTTGCGATTATGTCTCCCTGTGTCTACATGAAACCTCAACCTTATTTTCTCTCTCCCACGTGACAAACAAAGTCTTCTTTTGTAATTGTAATCCTATGACCTTCCGCCACCTAGCATCCTATCAACTCAAGGACTTATGAATTCGGAGGCGATACACATGCCGACAAAAAAAATTAGGAGGTGTGATGCGATGTCTTATATCAGCCAATGATTTTTATTCACATGTAAAAACACCATTATTTCTTTTAAACTTTATTATAAATTCATGAGACTTTTGAAAAATATTTTGTAAAGTACTACGAACTCGTAATCATTTGAGTTTGCATTTCATATCATACCATGAAATTACTAAGATACTGAAGAGAAAATTCTAAAATTCTAATATTTATATGTTCTATATTAAATAATAAACCCAAATTCGTAATACAAATATAGTTTTTTAAGTGTAAATAGACATTTATTTATATAATATTTAATAAGTTAACTTAAATTGAGGAAAGGGAAATTACGAACTTGAACAGTGGCTTCTATTTCTGAAACTGAACCAAAATAACCCACCATATTTCTGATACTAAACCAAAGCAACTCACACTATTTCTAGAAATACAACAAAAAAAACTCACACTATTTTTAAAACTATAGCAAAATAACTCACACTATTTCTGAAACTGAACTAAAATAACTCATACTATTTCTAGAACTACAGCAAAATAACCCACACTATTTCTGGAAATGAACCAAAATACTTACACTCTTTCTGAAATTAAACCAAAATAACTCACATTATTTCTGGAACTACAGCAAAATAAGTCATGCTACTTCTGGAGCTACAGCAAAATAACTCACACTATTTATGGAACTACAGCAAAATAACTCATTGTTTCTGAAACTACAGCAAAGTAACTTCACTATTTCTGAAACTGAACCAAAGTAACTCACATTATTTTTGAAATTGCAGCAAAATAACCCACACTATTTCTGAAACTGCAGCAAGATAAGTCACACTATATCTAAACCCACTGTTACATTCTAGCCATCTGGCAAAGAGTATTTTCTGGTTGGAAATATGATAGCGCTTATACACTTGAACACCACTTAATTATTTACGATATTAGAAAATGTGTTCAGTTGATTTTTTTTTTCTTTTGGGTTAGAAAATGGGCACAAAGCGCAAATACTAAAAAGAAAAACTTAACCCCTAGAGCCAGAACAAACAGCTCTTGGCCAAGACACTCCAACTAAATCATCCAAACAGTAGTAGAAACTTCAGGAAGAGGAACCTTAGAGAAAGAACGACCCAGTGTGTTAAGTTGAATTCGAAATGAAAAATGTTATGATGTGCTGATAATATCCTATTTATTTTCTTTCCTTTATATGTGTCAGTATTCAGTTTAAAAAAAAAAAAATATTAGTGTTAAGTTTAAGAAATAATGATAATACCCGTGTTCAGTATAAAAAATAGTGAGTATTCAATTTATGAAATAGTGATAATATATGTATTTAGTTTTACGAAATAGTGAATGTTTAGTTTAAAAAATAGTGATAGTACCACTCAGTTTAAGAAATAATGAGTGTTAGTTTAAGAAATAGTGAAAGTGCCAGTATTCAGTTTAAAAAATAATAATAGTACTAGTGCTCTATTTAAGGAATAATATCGGTAGCCCTATTCAATTCGAGAAATAGTTAGTGTTAAATGTTTATAATTGATATTTTGTTTACTTGGGTAAATATTGTAGCTATTTGATCTCTTTTTTTTTTTAACTTGAAGACGTAAAGTATCAAATTGTTAGTACGATATCAATGCATTTTTTGTTGGTTTGTTTTTAGGTTGTTGCTAGGACATAACAAAGCCACGGACAACACTGTCGGTAAAGACATATAACAACGAAAAGGTGGTGATGTTGAAAACATCCGAGAGCCGGTGAAAATACTGGAGCTTTACGAGCAAATCTACAAGACCATTGTTTTATCTGTCAAGAGTCGAGACCCACTGGCAAATCTACAAAGACTCCCAAACTGAAAATGAAACAGGGATAATTTCCAATGGAAGTGGCTCCTGCATTCTAGGAAGGTGGGTTCTAAGTGGTAAGCAAAATTAAGGGTGGAAATTGATCAACAAAAGAATCTGAACAACCTAATTACAAATAAGTAATAAACTAATAAAATAATAATAATAATAATAATAATATATATATATATATATATATATATAATAAAAGAAATTGGGAAAGCAATTGCTCCCATTTTCTTTAGGCTTATTATATTAACACCCCACAAATTGTTGAATAAACCTCATATACTTAATACACCCCACATTT